TGATTCTTCGAATACTGAGATGTAGATAATCTTTTGCAGAGGGAGTTTGTATAGATTAATTCACCGACCTAACAATCAATTAGATGAGCGAAGGCGGTTGCGGATGGCCCTTGATGCTGTAGGATCTTGTTGTCTCTTAGTGAATGCAGTTTCACTTTGTAAATTATTGCTGTAATAACCAGAGATGTCATGATTTATAACCTTTCTCTCTTTTGATTATTCAGGCCCGAGGAATGAACTATCTGCACAGCAGTACTCCAGTGATAGTGCATCGTGATTTGAAGTCCCCAAATCTTCTTGTTGACAAAAACTGGGTTGTGAAGGTGCAATCTATTTTCATGATAAAAATTATCAGTGGCATGGAGAATGCTTTGTGTTGACTTCAATTATGTTTTCTTTCTGTTGAATAGGTATGTGATTTTGGCTTATCACGAATGAAGCATAGCACCTTCCTTTCTTCCAGATCAACTGCGGGAACAGTAAGCTATCATAATTTTGATTCCTTTGTCCAATAGCTGTTGTAAAATCTGTCCCCTTTATGAAATAATATCATGCTAATAATCATATGTTAGAACACAAATTAAAGACACTTGGTATATCCTTTACCAAAAAAATAATTTTGGAAGGCTGAGGATTTTCTTCCCTGTAAATTTTTAAACTACGGTTTTTCTGTTATGCTTTGGTTCTGTCGTTTTGAAGCTCCTAATTTGGGCATTGTTTATGACATATATTTTCTTGCATCATCATTCTTTTATCTGCAATGATGAAAGGCCACCTTGTAGAACTTATTGGAATTGGATATTCAAGCAAATACTTATGTGTATTATATGTTTCAGGCTGAATGGATGGCTCCAGAAGTGTTGAGAAATGAACTTTCAGATGAAAAGTAAGCTCTGTTATTCTTGGCAGTTGTTGTTTTGCTTTAGGGACACGAAGGTGTTGTGAAAACCCTTCCAATCCCACCACTCTTCCTCTATTTAACATTGCCACAAATGAATGACTAGCACATTGTGCATGCAAATATTTATGTAGATTTCATTAGTTTAACAAGTAGGCTGGACAGACTGATTCTTTAGCCTATTCTAAATATCAATAGCCAAATTTATGAATTTAGATTAAGTGCACGTTTGATTCAGCTTATTTTGAAGAAATAATTTTTCATGTTTGTTAGCTTTCTGAAAGAGCTTTTGGAAAAGTTATTATTTGCTAGAATTTATACTATCCCAAGCAAGCTAATTATACCAAACAGGAACTAACTGCATGTCAAACTCGGTAATTAAAAAGTTGGATAATAATAACCTTCAGATGCTATATGGAAGGTTCTACAATGTTCAGGTATGGTTTTTAAGGCTTTACACTGAGGAAAAACATATTTGAGGTTGGAGCAATGAATCACGATAGGGTATTGGACAGATTGAGTTCCATGACTGGAGATCAAATGTTTGTCTTCTATAGTTTGATCATGAGGAATCTTTAGATTTCTTAGCATCAGGCTGATGATGAGAAACAGAATCATCAGTTGATCTTGGATACTGCAGCTAGGTCGAATTCTCCAATGTGGTCCATATCTCTTTTTATTTTTTCTGAAATGATAATATTAATAAAAACATTCATGGTCTTGCACCTAAAAACTAAAGATTTTTGGAGAGTTGGTTCTTGATGCTAACATCCACATTTTTTTCCTAGGAGGAATGTAATATTCCATTTTTTCTCTTTGCAATTAAAATTATTCTTTTATCAACAAAAAAATAAGCTTGGTTAACTTGGTTAATCCTCTGGAATCTTTGGTTTTAGGTAAAACAAAACAAGGTTTTTCTTTGCAGTTCACTAAAAACTGTTCTATCATTGTCTTGTCTCAAACCAATTTTCTTGTTGGCTCAGCCACTTCTTAAAACTCAATGCTTTTATGATGACAAGTTGCTACTCATTTTCTAGGTGCGACGTTTTCAGCTATGGCGTCATATTGTGGGAGCTCTCTACGTTGCAGCAACCCTGGGGAGGAATGAATCCAATGCAAGTTGTTGGTGCTGTGGGTTTCCAACATCGCCGTCTAGACATTCCAGATGATGTAGACCCTGTCATTGCAGATATTATCAGACAATGCTGGCAGACGTGAGTGTACTTTCAATCATTTTGTCCTTCCATTCTGAACTATGACTCAAATATGTTTATACTGTTCTATTTAACAATATAGAATTGTGGCATATCACTCTGAGAAGCTGTTCTTCTCATTCTGTTTAGACTGTTTGACGTTCTCCAACTCTATGGATGAATTTCTAAGTTTAAACGGTGAAACAGTTGGAGATGATATGTTTTCTTATTTGAATGTGATCTTTTAAAGGGCATAAACATGTTTCTAAGGTTGTACATACGAGGTTGCAATAATATATCTCAGTCATTGCATGTAATAAATTTATGCACGTGATAGAATATTTTTCTTTTCTACAATAAGATGTATGACTGGATATTCTACTTTTCTGAATTACAGAGATCCAAAGCTGAGGCCAACATTTGCTGAAATCATGGCTGCTCTGAAGCCATTGCAGAGGCCAATTACTGCTTCTCAAGTGCCTAGATCAAGTGCTCAGTCATCACGAGTTACTGAATTTCCCGCAGGATAGAAGAAAATTATACCACTAACATTTTGTTTTTCATTTTACTGCTATAAATGTGAGGGCAAATTGTAGAGTATTTACCGTTTGGGATTGACAAAAGTGATTGGTTCAGCTAACTTACATTCTCATTCAAGGTTTTCACTCCTCTAGTTCCTTCTCCTTCTTTGTTTTCCTCCATTTCCTTTTCTTTTCTGTGTTATCCACAGTGCTGTTAGTGTCAGGTTGTACCATTTGTTTGTACAAAATTCTTTGAAACATGTTGTAATCAGTGTCTAAATTTTGTTGTTCATAAATAGTAACGGAAAATTGCAACTGTAATTTGGATAGAAGAAAGGATTAACATAATTGAAAGTTGCTTGCTTCTGTAATTAGTGACCATGTTAACTGGGTTAATGTGCTAAGTTCTCTGTGAGCCTTGCATTTCTCTCTTGGACTTGCACACTGTTAAAGGAAAAATAATGTTATTTATTCAGTTGTTTGTGTTTCTAGAGACTGAGCAACAACATAGGTTTTGTATTTTAGTGGAGTTGGTCTCACTTGGTTGATACATTAACTAGTATAATTTATATTTAGTGAATAAGTTTAAATATATTTTTAATCAATTAAACTCAGATTAAGTTTTAGTTCATCTATCCAAGTGTTTCATACTAAAATGTAAGCAAACATCTGATTTAATATCTGATGATAACACATTATTAAGGCAACGACTAGTAATTGCTAATTATATAAATAAAGTTTGTAGCGGTATTTAGATCAAAAATATTAAAATAAATATTTTCAATTTAAAAGATTAATTTCAAATTTGAGGATCAAAAGAAAATTTACCTCAGATTTTAAAAGACTACTGACATATGAGGCAACAATTACCATGCTTCATATTCCACAAGCAAATATTGTTCTCTTTAAATTTTCTGCAGAGTATGTTAAGAT